AATCGAGGCCCCGGCGGAGCTCAGGGCTCATGACGGCACAGTGAGTGCCCTGCCCTCTCCTACGGCTCCGCCTCGGCAGGGCTGGGGGGCCTGAGAACGAGCATTCCTCATACGTTCCCAGGGCTGCTGCTGCTGCTGCCGGCCGAGGAACCCACTCTGAGACCCACCAGCCCAGCTCACCTTCTCTGCTCATGGCCTGCGACCCTTCTAAACCTACATACTCCAAGCTTGGCCTAAATGCCGACTTCTGCAGCCCCTTCCCACCGGGAACACACCCAGGCTGGGACAGGGGAATCCCTGGGGACAGAGGCCCTGTCCTTCCCCCATCTCGGGAGCTCCCTCCGGGGCAGCCAGGTGAGGTGTGGCCCCAGCCTCCTGGCCCCCGGTCCCAGCTCCCCGGCCCCTGGCCCGGCCCAGCAGCACTCACTTGGAGCTGGCCCTGGAGTGGCCAAAGGACATGTCCTTGCTGCAGGACATGGGCGGGATGTACACCGGCTCCTGCTTGGAGGTGCAGGAGGGCGGGCGGGCCACGCACTTCTTGGCCCCCTTCTGGCCGCTGCAGGTGCTGTAGAAGCTGTAACGGCTCTGCGTGGTCTTGTGGCCCTTGCTGCTGGGCACGCCCTTGCGCAGGGTGCCCCGGGGGTCACAGTACAGGTCCGGCTCGCTGCGGCTGGCCTTGATCTTCTGCAGGAAGCAGATGTCGCTGCCGGCGCCCGCGGTGGGACAGCCAGCCCGGGGCAGGTGGCGGCCCCAGCTCTCCATCTGGCTGTAGGAGCTGAAGCGCCGGTGGTCAGCCTCCCGCTTGAGGGTACCATTGTAGATCTGGGGGAGAGAGGAGGGCTCGCTGGGGTTCCTGACTGCGCCCCACAGCCACGCCGGGAGCCCAAGGTCTGGGCAGGAGGAACCGCGGCCGCCTCTGATACAGTAGTTAGTTCCCAAGCGGCAGGTTGTGACCCATTACAGACCGAGACCATTTAGCAGACCGAGACCATCGTTCTAAGACCAGACTAGAGTAAGGTACATGGGGACTCAAGCCAGTGGGGGCGGAGTGCCCAGCGGTGCCCAGACGGCCATGCTGGGCCGGCCGCGGGCGCCGGCTGTGAACCGTGCTTCTCGCTGGGGGCCGTCGGGGCGTCTGGCCGCATGCACCTGTTCCACGGGCCCGTCCGGAAGGGAGAGGCGGGAAGTCCTGAGCCCCGCCCCCCAGCCCTTGGCCCGCTGTCCCGTGCCATCCTCAGAACCAGCGGCTTCTGACGGCGTGGCCGGCTCGGCCACCACACGCAGCGCGGGCTCCTCGCACTCGGGCAGCCCGTCCCCCCTGTCGCTTCCCTGCCGAACACGTACTTCGTCTGACACCCCTCTGCTGGGGCGAGAAGCAGATGGGAACAGGCCCCTCAAAGGCTGAAGGGGGGTCCTCCTGCTCCTGGGCCTTCTGTTACGGGGTGCCTGCACACGGGCAGGCAGGCGGGGGTTGCAGGGCAGGCCTCCTGGGCTTTGTTGTCAGGCTTGCGGGATGTGGGGTGGGAAGCTGGGCTCAGCCCAACAGGAAAACACAACAATAGGTGCCCCCCAGGCCGTGTGAGCCACCTGAGGGGCCAGCCGCTCTGGGGAGAGCCTGCGAAGCCGTGGACGGGGTGGGAACGAGCTAGCAGAGTGCTGTCCAGGGCTTGCCCGAGCTCACATGCTGTGGGCCTGCCTGCTGGGACTCGTCCTGAGACCACAGGATCAGCCTGGGGCCTGATGAGCCGTCTGCACCCAGCAGCCACCTTGGGACTCAGGTCTGCAGTGGCCAGAGCCGGCCTGTACCCCTGGGAGCGAGCACGAGCGACTGCGTGTGTGGGGGTGGCCTCGGGCACCCGGGTGGATCCTGTCCACGCCAGATCCAGCCGCACAGGCGGGGCAGCGGCCGCCCTTGGCCAGGTCCCCTTCATCTCTGCAAGGACAGCCTTGGGCAGCAGGAAACAACCCGTGGGTCAAGCTCCAGTCAGAAGCGGCGCCCGGACTCAGAAGCCACCGTGAGCCTTGGCAGTGGCCCTGGCCACCCACACGCCCAGCTGTGCACCAGGCAGGAAGTTTTCTTCCCCAAACTGGGTCAAACTGACCAACCCAGAGGGAACTGGTGTGTGGGCGTTGGGAGCCGTGAATGCACAATCATAGGCAGAGGGGACAGCGGGTGGCTTTGTGGCTTTTGGACAGGAATGTGTACCTCGCAGATGACACACAAAACACTCGATCAGGCCTCCAGGCTTCAGGCCGGGGGCCGCACCCCTCGCCTGCACTGCCTGGGGGAGGACGGTGACACGGCTCCTCCATGGAGGGAGAGCTGGTTCCTCCCAGACGGAACAGCGGGCTGAGCCTTATATAGACATGCAACAAGGAGCTGCCTTGTTCTCGGTAAATGGCACTCCCCGTTGTCATCTCAGTCACCTGGTGAGGCATGGGAATGCTCGCCCTGGCCGAAACCCAGCGAAAACGCGATGGTGCTGACGAAGCCTCCCAGAGGCTTCGGGCTTTGCACTGCTGCATGCGGCGGGGGCGGGGAGCAGCAGGCAACCCAGCCCACGGGGGCCGGGGACCGTGCTGGCCGTGCCCGCAGAGGGGCAGGCGTGGCGGGCAGGTCGAGACGCCCGTCGGCTGCATTTCCCAGCACCCCATCAGCCACACTGCACCCCTGGGACCCCCACTCCAGGCCCCACGCCCCGGCGGCTGACGGCAGCCGTGGAGGTCTCACGAGTGGCAGCCAAGCTTCCTCTTGGCCCCGTCCTCTCCCCGTGGCACATGGGTCCTGGGTTCCCGGGCACGGCCGGCCGGGCGCAGCTGAAGCCTGGGACCTCCCCCGATTTTCCGTCAGGCCGAAATAGCGGTGGCACCTCGGGACTCCAGACACATCCCTCAAGCTCACCGGGCCGAGACGTCCGCAGCGGGGGAGGTTCAGTGGTCAGGACACAGCTCTGGAGCCAGACTGTCCGGGCCGAGTGTGGCCATGTCACAGGCCGGACGACCGGCCTTAGGCGAGTCCCCTGAACCCGGTGTGCGCCCCCTGCTTCGTCAGTCGGGCTGGCGTGATGGCCGAGCCTGGCGTGCGGGGTCGTTGGGAGCATCCAGCAGGGAGCAGGGTGCGTGGCGCGTTCGCTCAGCGGGCACATCATGTGGCCGGCTGCCCCCAGGTTCTGGCTGAGGGTTTTACGGACCCGAAGCCACACCAGAGGAGCTGCCAAGCTGGCACACGGTGGGGTGAGCCCCACGGCCACGGAACAGTCTCACGTTTCAGCAGAGCAGGCGCGGCCCCACCAGACGGTGCCGCAGCGAAGCTGGCAGATGGCACGTGGCTTCTGGGCCGTCGGCACCGGGCAGGACAGGTCTTCCCGCGCAGGGCCCCCCGAGCCCTGCAGGGCCTGTCGTGCCCCTGGCCCCGGCTCTAATGCTGGTGACGCCTCGCCGACTGTCACTGTGACTAACGAGAATGCGCCCCCCCATCCTGGTCCCACGAGCAGCCGCAGCCGTGCTTAAACGCACAGGCAGCGTGAGCACATGTGTCCACGCTTCGCTGCCGGTGCTGGCCAGGCACCCCCACACCCCACACCCCACACCCATCTGCTGGCAGCAACCTCGCCTCGAACACAAAGGACAATGAGACGCTCACACCCTTGTCTGGTCATCTTGAGCTTCCTGGGAAACTCCAGCCTCAGTGGGATGACCCAGGGCGAACGCCCGACTTCCTGGGAGCAGAGCTGACCGCTGACCCGCAGGGCCGGCTGGGCCGGACGGCGAGCAGGAAGCCCGCATGGTGTGTCTCCACTTGAGACGCCAGTGGGGCTCTTGGGGGGCCGACACTCGAACCCGTGTTCCCAGGGGGGCCAGAGAGGGTGGCTCCCCGCCCGCCTGCGCTCTGCCCGCTTCTGCTAACGACCACTTTCCTGCCTTCCCGCCCTCCCCGGCTCGGGGAAGGTGGAATTTTACCCCCCACTGAAGTCCCTTCAGCCCAACGTCACCTTCTCTTCCTGTCCCTCCCAGCACACCCTCCATGCAGCCCCTGCCGCCAGCCACATTCCTCCTCTGCCTCCCGCCGGCTTCTGCCCAGACAACCCTCCACCCCGATAGCTGTCCTCCCGCCGCCCCAGGCCCTCTGCACCTGCTGTCTCTGCTCACCTGCCCTGCACCTGCTCTGTGGGCGGAGCAGAGAAAGACCCTTCCCTGTGCCCAGAACAGGGCTGGGCCATGGCCAGTGCTCAGTGTGAAGGCATCTGGGCTGGGGGTGGAGACATGGGTGGCTGATGGCGCGGGGTGCCCTTGGCCTCCACGCGCACGGGGGAGCCTCCGTGCCCTCTGAGCTGCGAGGAAGGCTGGGTGTCCTGCCTGGGGTGAGGGAGGCTGCATGGGACCGGGCTGTGATGGTTCATGATTCTTCCCTTTGCCCCTTGACCTGGGAGACAGCAGCTGGTCGGCCACGTCGGGAGAGCCCCAGTCCCGCTCCAGCTGACCACGCAGAAGCTGCCGGCCCTGTGGCGGCCAGCCGGGCAGGCCGCGATGAAAAGGCCGTCCGGGTCCCCGGCTATGAGCCCATGTTGAAACCAAGCTCCTGCAGCAAGGTGTGGCTGGCCTAACCAGCTCTCCAGGGACACACGCCCTGCCCCTCCCTGCCCACACCCGGCCAAGCGCCCTTCTCATGAGAGCGAGTGCCCCCAGCGTCCCGGGGTCCTCCTGTCTCTGGGGCGCAGGGAGGACTCTGCTGAGAGGGACGCCGACTGCGAATGCCTCAGGGACAGAGTCCATCAGTCACTTCCCGCTGCTCCCCGCTCAGCACCCCGAAGACCTGTACCAACTCTCGAACTGTCCCCGGGATTCGGGTCAGGACTGGGCAGAGATGGCTGGTCATGAGGCGGCAGGGGCCTTGCGCACGTGGCCGGCAGCTCTGCTCGCCCGTCCCCAGGGTCTGAGCACACGGGTCCTAGCGGGGGCTGTCCAGGGCGGGCACATGGGGCCAGGGCTGGGAGAGCCCCCCGGGGTGGGGGTGACTGCTCACTCAGCAGTTGGAGGCAACGTGGAAGCCTCTGGGCCTGAGTCACCAAAGGTGGGGTGTGCGGGTCCCTGCCTCCTCCTGGGTACCCCGACCTCTGGCTGGGAAAGATGCCAGCCCCCATCTTTCCCTGGCATGCGGCCCTGTGTGCAGCGTGGAGGACAGAGCATGCACACGTGCACACGCAGACACACCCCCATACGGGACACAGGTCACCTCGCTGGGGCGGACTCAGGTGGGGAAGGTCTGAGCTCTTCCTAACCTGTGGCACGCACGGGCACCACAGTTTGCACAGGGCTCCCCTGCTCACCATCCCGTTACAGCGGCCCAGGGCCCCGGCCCCCCGCCTGGCCAGCGGGGTGTCAGACCCCAGGGCGCGTCCATCCTCCCTGTGAGAACCTTAAGCCGGGGAACTTGAGGCTAAGAAGGCCACGCAGCCCGGACACGGTGGCCTGAGCCAGGCCCCAGCAGGTGACAGGAATGGCTGACAGGCTTTGTAGGCACCCCGCCAGCTCCTCTGGCTCACTGAGGGTCCCCACCCCTAGGAACCCCACCCCAGGACGACAGAAGTGGGGGGTGGGCCGTCCTCTGCTGGCCATCGCGGGAGGCCCAGCCACGAGACATGACTCTACTGCCCACAGCACCCAGAACAAACCCCCTGAGCCCGGCCCTTGGCCTCGTCTGTGGGCTGTGGGGGCCGGAGGGGGCCCCCACTGAGGCCTGAGCTATCTCTCTCCCCAGCTGCGTGTTTTAGTTGAGCCTGCTCCCCTCCTGCGGGAAGGTCCCCATCTCCCCCAGAGACGAG